TTTAATAGTACCAGGTCAGTAGTGGAAGGCAGAACTAAGGAATTATTTATAAACACATGCTCTACACCAAAAATCCAGAAAGTATAGAAAAGGACAGTTTAAACTCATCCATAAGCCCCCAGGACAGCCAGTCATTCTCAATGCAATTATTACCTGTTTCAAGCAGAGAGGTATACTGGGCTCTTGCTCTCCCTCAGCAAAATGTTACAAACATTATTCCAAGTTACTGAATAGTCTTCATTGCCCCTATATGTGCGTGCGTGCATGTGCTGCAGGAGTTTGAAAGCAGGGCTTTGAGCTGCTAAACACACCCTCTACCATGGCACTACATACCCTCAAGCCCTCCCTGCACTTTTGATGGGCATTTACCATTAAGCAGTTTGAAGATTTAGATTATTTGCCATTATTTTCGATTATCAAAATATGCCAAAGGGCTTTGAACATACAATTTGAATACAACTATCATGCAAAGAAGTTAAAAAATAAAATCACTGAGAAAAAGTATATTTTTGTCTTTAAATTTCTCTTCAGAGAGCTAACAGCAGTCTAACACTTCCACTTGCACTGCACAAGCTCAGTTTCCCTCTATTGCCAATACTGGCTATAACCAATCCTTAAAACTGTTTTCCACCTGATTAAAAGAAACTCATTTTAATTCATTTCTCTCTTTTTTTTGGGGGGGCGGGTAGTACTATAGTTTGAACTCAGGGCTTCGTGCTCTACTGCCTGAGCCATGCCTGCAGCCCTAATTTCTTTCTTTGGTAGTTATAAGGCTGAGGATTTTTCAAATGCTTACCTACTATCTACATTTCTTGTTTCTGTGAACTAGTTATGCTCTATGGAGCCTTATTACAAAAGTCTGGCTAAATATATACAAATGAAAATGATAGTTCACATTTGAAAAAGTATGAAAAACTTAGGTGTTTACATTCATGCTCATTAAGTAGGCAAAATCAGAATTAATGTAAAACTCCTAAGAGTGCAAGAAGAAATATTCTAATACATTTGCTGGGTTACACAGTTACTCCAAATGGACACAGATCATCATTAATCTATTTTGAAAACAATCTGTTACTCCTTCTGCTTGGTTTGCTTTTCTACGAGGCTTTGATTTTCTAGAGGAAAGAGGTAAGTTGGTAGCAGGCAGGCAGACGTAGGAAAGCTGCCACCTGGCACAGCACAAGGCAGGGGACTGTACACAACTGAGAAGAGTGAGGACAGCAGCGTGATGTGGCTGTACAACTGGCAAGAGCTGAGCAGCAGCAGGCACCAGCATGTCCTGGCATGTTGTCTCTTCATAGTATAGGCTGCAGGAGCCAAGACCTCAGCGGATTGGTTCTGGGTAAAAAAGTGCCCCCCTACCCAGTGATCACATCAGCACAGAAGATTAAGGGTGGAATATGCTTGTATTATAACTTACTGCAAAGATTAGGAAATGTGAAAGAGACCATTTTGATACTGGTAGGGCAAATAGGGCTTTAAAAAACAGGCTAAGTAAACAAACTACTTTTAGTTCACAGCACTAATGGAGAAAAACAGAAACTTCAAAGTTTATGTGAACTTACTCAGGTAGGGGGAAAAAGGAAGACATCAACATGGGCACGGAGCAGGAAATCTCAGGTGACTGAAGGCAGTCTACCTGTGCCTGCTCTGTTGAAAAACTGGGTTTTCATTCTTGAGAAGAAATTCATGGAAGGGTATGTTTGCTATCACAGGTTCACTTTTTATTTATTTATTTTTAATTTCCTTGTTGAGACTCCTGCCAAGTAGTTAGGAAGATTTTCTTCCTGAGTACTTCATGAAACCCATGAAGTCAAAACAGGGAAATCTGGGTAAAAGCTTTGATTTCGCTACCTCTTTTATTTTTTGGGATAACCATAGTATCCACTTTCCTATTTTATGACCACTGAAGTAGTCCCAGACCTATCTTAAAACTAAGGGTGGATGTGTTGGCAGAAACAGCTAGGCATTGAAGATAATTTTTGACTCTTCCAGAATAGACAAGGCACATTACTGAAGCGTCTGACACTGTCCAGCATCGATGGAGTTACTACCGCCAACCCTCAGGCTGAGGTGAGCCTTACATGAGAAGTGGGGTGATACCCAGCATAATACCTGACGCACAGGAGTCAAGTGCCTAACTATTATTTCAGAAATAAAGTTAAAAGAAGGGCTGGCTGAGCAGCTCAAGTGCTTCTTGAATTCAAACCCCAGTGCCATCAAAGAATTAAAATAGGGTATTTTAGACTCCACCTTGATTTTCCAGTTTTAATACATGAAGCTGTTATATCCAATGACAAAACTGAAAGGGAAAGAATAATATTCAATTTAAGAGTGGCAGTTCTAAAAAATTAAAATTGCAGGTATCAGAATAGGAACAAATTATAATTACCTGTAGAATAAAATTCAGTAACTTCTGCAAGCATACAAAAATTTTCTACATTCTCATAGTCCTATAAGCAGAAACATTCTACCAGAAAAAAAGATTCTGAAATCTTTTTTTTTGAGTGAAAAATTATATATTAAGAAATCCCCCAGGGTCAGGCATGGGGTGGCTCACACATGTGATCCCAGTTACTGAGGCAGGAGGATGATGCAGCTGGGCTACAAGCAAGACCCTGTCTCAAAAATTAACTAATTAATTAATTAATTCCCAGTAGTGCTCTCCTGACACTGTGCATACCAGAAACCCAACCAAGTGTCCTGCCTGACCACTGGAATCACAACTTTCAGGTTTATTACTTGCAAAATTAAAAAAATAAACTCTTACCTAGCAAGCTAAAGCCCTATGAGATGGACTATCCTCTCACTTGGCAAAGACTCCATCTTCCTTAAAACCATCCTACATAGCACATTACTCAGCAGTTTCAATCACAGGCATATACGCAATAGAACTAAGAACACAGAGACACTCAACAACTAGCACACAATGTTCATAATAGTATTCGTAACAGCCAAAGAGTGGAAATAACCCCAAGCCATCACTGATGAATGGATAAACAAAATGTAAAATATCCATACAATTCAGTATGAATGAATTGTATGGATCAGAATGAAGTTCTGATGCATGCTACAAGGATGAGGATTAAAAACATTATGCTGGACTGGAGGCGTGGCTCACATGGTAGAGTGCCTGCCTTTCAAGCACAAAGCCCTGAATTCAAACCTCAGTCCCATGAAAAGAAAAAGAAGGAAAAAAAAAAAAAAAGGCTTTTAAAAACATTATGCTAAGCAAAAGAACCAGACATGAAAACCACACTTACTGTATGATTTCATTTACATGAAATGATCAAAATAGACAAATTCATACAGAAAGTAGGTTAGTGGTTGCAAGAGACTGTGAGGAGGGGAGCACAGGAATCTACTGCTAATGGGTACAAGGTGCCTTTTGAGAGTGGTAATTATAAAATTAGATAGTGATGGTTGTCAAACTGTAAATATGAAAATCACTGCATTGTATACTTCTTAAATGGGTGAGTTTTATGGCACAGGTATATTCCAATAAAGCTATCATTTTTAAAAAGAGCTCCATAGTATAAATGTACTTACATATATGAATATCCATATACATATAAACTTTAATTAGCGATAGACAGTTTCATATCATTAATGTTAATTTTTTAGGGTTCTAAACTATTAACAAATTTGAGAGTATAACAGAATATGATGTAGCCTTGTTTGATAATCACTGACACACAGTTTTAAACTTAAGTTTCCATTAAATGAATGACTTTAAAGTCCAAGAATCAGTGGTAACCTGCTTTCTACTAAAACAGATTAGCTTTAATTTCAATTTTATATTTGTATGGAATTAAGAAACTCTACAACCTAAACAGTATGTCTCCAAGTACATAATAGCAGGAGCGAGATCTTTTATACTCTCATCATCTTTGTAGCATACAGCATGTCCCTTGTACACATCAGACCAAATAATGAGTGTAATACCTTCTTACTACTGTATTTGTAAAACAAGACAACAACAGTAAAACTTTTGCTCTATGTGCTATTCCTTTAGATCAGGTCAACAAACTTTTTCCTGTTAAGGGCCAGATAATAAATATTTTAAGACTATGTCTGACATGACTACTCAACAGCTCTGTAACATGAAGGTAGTCAAAGACATTTAAATAGACAAATTCATTCAGTTCACTGTAATCCAAAAAACGTTTTATGATTGAAATGTTCTATTTTATGACTCCTGAGTACTTAAAATATGGTTAATGAGACTAAGGAACTGAATTTTAAAATTAGTCATCCCTCAGTATCCAGAGTGTACTGATTTCCCTTGTTATAAAAATCCATAAACTCTCAACTACATTATTAAAATGCCAGTGTCTATATATAAAATATGTATATCCTCACCTATTCTTCAAATTACTTATATTGCTTAATAGCTGTGTAGCAGTTGTTATACTGTATTGTTACAGTATTGTTAAACTGTATTGTTTAGGGAATGGGAAAAAAAAAAAAAGGGCCGGGCGCGGTGGCTCATGCCTGTAATCCTAGCTATTCAGGAGGCAGAGATCAGGAGGATTGCGTTTCGAAGCCAGCCTGGACAAACAGTTCACAAGACCCTATCTTGAAAAAACCCTTCACAAAACAGGGCTGGTGGAATGGCTCAAGGTGTAGGCCCTGAGTTCAAACCCCAGTACCACAAAAAAGGGTCTATATATGTTCAGTAAAGAAACAATTTTTTCCCAAGTGTTTTCAATCTGTGTTTGGTTGAATCCATGGAGATGTAAATAAAGAGGCAGCTATAGTTTAAATGTAAACATCTATATATAATCAGCGCCTACTATACTGACCAGCACTGCATTAGCCTACTAATCAGCCAATTTTACCTCTGCTCAAAAAACAAAGCTAAAAATGAACTTGGTGATTGTATTATAGGATGGACCTGGAGGAGAAAACATGATAAAAAATTTCTAGTATTTCAAACATCATCCTACAAAATAATCAAAATTCTAAACAAACTAATGACAGCTCAAGCAGGAGGATACGTGTAGAGTTCCATGTATCTGGACTTTGCCATACTTTGTCTGGTGTACACTTGCTGGATTCCAGCTCTGAGGTCGTCCCAGATCTGATCAAGGCCAATCTGCTTCAGTCCATGGGGATTCTGACTTCTGTTTGATGACATTGTGAGTAATGTTCTGAAGTTGTCCAGTGCAGCAATCCTTGTTCAAGACACAGTTAATTCTCCATTAGTTGAAAATATATAGTTATCATTCCAAATTTATTCACAGCAGCTCAGAAAGGATGTCCTTTAAGTGTAGAAAGTGAAATCTCATTGCAGGCAAACCTGAAGAAGAAATAAAGAGAATTAATGTCTTAGGGTAAGACAATAGGGTGACACACATAATAGAAATAATTTGGACATTCACAGGTACTGCTCTAACCCAGAGATAATTTTTCTTTCTATTTGGAAACACTTACATACAGTCTGTGTATACAAATGTTTACTTAGACATTCTTTCCAACATGCTTCAACTATTAGCATTCATGAAAAAAGCTGAGAAAAGCCTTGCAAAGCACAATGAACTGTTTGTTGTCTTTCTTCATTTTCTAGTTATCAAAATATGAAATAAATCACCTGACCTACAAAACAAAAACTCAAAAAAAAGGGCAAAGGATATGCTCAGGAAATTCACAGAGAGAAAACACAAATGGCACAAATAAGAAAAGCCATGCATGCAATCTCACTAGTTACCTGTGAGTTTTAGTAATTTTTCACTTAGGACTTGGCAAAAGAGTAAATGGTGATGAGAGTAAATATGAAGGGAGATGAGTACTCCCTTTTAGAAGGAAACTTGGCAAGAACTAGCAAAATTTACAATGTCCCTATATTCAGGGGCATCTGGGTTTGATGCTCAGCTTGGCACTTCCTAGGCAGGTATGGGTAAGCTGCTTAACTTCCCTAAACCTCAACTTCCTAGTCTGCAAAATGGGACAGATCATTTTCCTCAAATGTCTGTTGTGAAGTTTAAGATAATGTATAGACAAGATTTTCTGTATTGCACATGTTTAGCAAATGGTAATGGCTATTATTTCTAAGTGATGAAACTACTGCAAAACACAATTTATAATGCTTCACATGCCGGACCCATAAATAAAGGACCTTAGGTATTCAATGTTGCACTAAGTTAGTACCTCTCAATATGCAACATTACAGACCCACTTTAAGGATTGTCTACGCATATCACATCAAAATAGGGAGTTTTTTTCCTAGTGCAAACCAAAAAAGTGCTGAACTATTTCAATGGTTTCATAAAATAAATGTCACCAGGAAGTAAATGGGATCAGAAATAGTAGGTTTAGGTTGCTAAAGCCTGCAACTCCATGTCCAGATGCCTCATTAAGTAATTCAGCACAGTCCATCTCAACAACGTAACAGAGCTGTGAGTAACACAAGGCACCTTTAAGGACCTTAATCATAAGAAAGCTTAGGATTAAGTTTTTAACTACTGAAATCTCAACCATCTCTGATATTTATAATCTGAGCTATAAGACTTACTATTTTATGAAACCACACCATCATCATTCCTGATCCTGAAGGTATTTTATTTCATACATCCAAATAAATAAATGTTCAAATATGAAATATAAAAATACTTACCTAACACAAAGATTCCCCTCAAAATGTAAATTAACTTAGCAATCACTCTGCAAGTGGTCCCTATATATAGTTTGTTTCATTCCTTTCATCTATGTTGGGAGGATCATAAAGAGACACACAGATAACAATCAGCATGGCTGGACTGGTGCTGCCAACTGATCATTATCCACATATAATTTTCCTCTATGGAGAAGTTCTCACTAAGTTGTCCAAACTAGAATAAATAGTGCAGATGCTTTTATCTTAGATGAGCTTTCTCATGCCCATCTAGATATGCCTTCACTCCTTTTTCTTTTTCTTCTTTCCTAATTTCTACAGCAGAAACTGTTTTCTGCTGTCTGAACTCCATTTCCATCAACACTGCCCAACTTAGTAAGCAGAACCCTCGGTGCCCACCTGTCAGGAATCCAGGAAGGACTCTGATGATTACTGATGTTACTGTCTCAGACACTTCAAATCCACCCACTCACCATCTTCTTCCTCCAGAAATCCTAATCCCGGTCTCTCACCTGGAGCACTATTTTAGGAGTCTAAACTGGACTCTCACATCTCTGTCCGTGTGTATCCCTCCCCAACCCCTTCAGTTAATGTCCGGATTTCTTGTCATCCTAATTCTGAACAGGTTGCCATCCTAAGAGCAAAGAGGAGAGTGGGAAGCAGGAAATCTTTTTCTCTCCACTTCTTACAAAATTTGCCCTTTGTCCCCTTGGGCACAGCCACACAGATTTCTTGCCCTTTCCTGGACACACCAGTCTTCTTTCCATTCTGTGGACATTTTGCTGCTGCTGCTACCTGGAATGCTCCTCCCCCTTTTCTGATGAGCTTCTAGTCATATTGTACCTCAGGTAAGACCTACTGGAGAGTCCCAGGAGAGGTTCAGGTTTGCTCATCCCCTGGGACTTTCCCTTCTTAACACTTACCCAAGGCTTACTCAAGGCTTATTTCCTTACTACAATTCCTTTCCCTGCTTCACTGGTGTGGAAAAGCCAAAGCACAGATCATCTCTTGCTCACTGTGTTACCTTGAGTACCTAGTACAGAATCCAGCATGAAGTTCAATAAATGTTTTGCAGAATAAATGAAAGAGTAAATTAAGAGCAGGGTGCCAGTGGCTCACACTTGTAATCCTAGCTTCTTGGTAGTCTGAGATTGGGAAGATTACAGTTAGAGGCCAGCCCAGGCAAATAAGACCCCAACCAATCTTCAAAATTACCAAAGAAAATGAACTGGAGAGAATGTGGCTCAAGTGGTAAAGCACCTGCTTTGCAAGTGCAAAACCTTGAGTTCAAATTCCAGTCCCACCCAAAAAAGAAGAAATTATGAAACTGAAGCTGGGAGTGTGGCTAAAGTAGTAGAGACCATCCTTCCTAGTGAGCATGAAGCCCTGATTTCAAATCCCAGTACCCCCCTCCCAAATTAAGGAACAGAAAAGCTTTTAAGTTTTTATAGGATTTAGAAATAAAAACTAGCATCATCAAGCATCTGAGTTAGTTCAAAATCTCCCTTTAGAATTTTGCAAAAATTCTACCTTGTTTCTTGTAAACTGTTTCTTGAGCTAAAACATACTTATTTCATTTAGTAACTGAGCTAAAATGTATTTCTTATTTCATTTAGTCATGTTTTATGCTTAGTCATTTCAACCATACATGTGCACATACACACACACACCCCTATACATATTTTCTTTTTTTTGGGTGTGGGGGATTGATACCATCATGGTTTGAACCCAGAACTTTGTACTTTGCTAGGGAGGTGCTCTACCACTTCACCATACCTCCACATCCCCCATCCACATTTTGACACAGACACACACACACACGCCCCTTAACATGGTATTTAAACAGGCTTATGAGAGTAACAGAACTTTAGCAACCATTTGTACTTTTTAGCAAATATTTAGTAGGAAACTGCCATGTGCCAGGCACTGTCCTAGGCCCTGTTTATACACCACTAAAAGTAAATCAGAATAGCATGATCTACTTGCTTAAACTCCTGCTATGTAATGAGGCACCCTTACAAGAAGCTAACACATAAAAACATTTGGTGTATAAACTATTTGTAAAATGCAGAGTTTACGTACCATTAATTTGTTACCCAAAAGCATTCTGTTTGTGAGAACCAATTATTGTCACAGATGATTAGAACTTAAAAATAGTTCTGGCCTTTTCTTTTGTAGCTGAAGAAACTGATTCAAAGCAGCAAACAAACTTGACCAACATTATAATGTTAGATAGTAGCAGGACCACAGCCATGGCCCTGTGTTCTTACGCCAGCATTTTTCCAGTATTCAGTATGAATTTTAGGTGCTTTCATTTTCAAGTTGACAGTAAACAGTGAAACCATTCTAAAAGTCATAAGAAAAACAGATTCACTGACACATTAAACTAAGAAACCCAAATAGCTCTAATTAAAAAACTGATAAAAAGCCAGCAAATTAGTCCTAACTGTATTCATATTAAATCTATTCAAATAAAGCTAAAATACACCAAGTAAAAGCGAACGGTATATATCTCCACCTTCCCATTCCAGCCTGCAATATGCTTCTTGACATATGCTTTTTACGTATCTTTTTCTTTGTTATTCCTTTTTTATATTCTGTTATGTGGTTTACAGTTCTCTTAACTACGTACTCCCTTTTTCTAGTTGGCGCTACTACTATACAAATTCATAGTCCATCTGAGGGTCTCAAGTCCTTATCCTCATAAGTAAAGAGCAAGTGTAAAGGGACAACCTCATCTTACATTTTACTGTCCCCTCCAGAGTCTCACTTCTATGTGTAAAACATTTGTGACTCAGCAGAGGAATCTAAACCTAAGTCTACAAGGAAATGTGAAATGTGAACAACCACAGAAATGTCTGAGAGGGAAGAGCATAAGCTGACACACCAGCAGCAGACCTGCTGGTTTCAGGAGCAGACACTAAGACCCTGTTTGGGTGGAAGATGCTTCTGAGAGATGGCACCTGTGAGGTGAAGAGCAGAAAGCCAATTGGGCAGAAAGAAGATCTGTGACTCAGGCTGCACAAAGCCAGCATCAACCTAGAAGGCACTCTGCTGCAGCATTGCTTCATTTGGCGCCACAGGCCTTTAGACTGCCAAGCGTCAGAAGGGCATGGCCAGCACAGGGTGGCTCCGCAAAGTGAAGCTGATCCAAGTCACTGACCGATGGAGACAGCTGTGGAGCATACTCCCCTACCTGGGAGTCAAGGCCTTCCTTGAAGGATCATCTGGGTTGGTTAGGGTCATCCAGCAGGCTGCCCCAAAGAATACAAGAGGCTGTGGTTACGGAGTTTTCCAGTTAGGTGGGACATGTGTGTGAGAGTGAGTGCACCTGTCTTAATCTGCTTAGGTATCACTCAAGTATTGGTGAAATGAAATGATTATAAAACTGCCTGGAGCAATAAAACAGGACATAGGTGCCCAAAAAAGGACCGGCTTATCAGTCAGAGTTAAATTTCAAAAACAGGTCATTTTACAAACTATGTATCTTCCATCTCATAACCAGGCCATCAAAAAACATCAATAATCTTAAGATTTCATGAGTCTGAGAGGTTCAAATGGTTTTTAGGTTAAGAGTTGTGAAAATTTCTTCCTAATAAATTATATCACATAAAACAAAAAACTCAGGAAGTCCCCAAAATCTACATATAACCAAAACACAATATACTTAGGAAATCAGGTTGTCCTCA